TCACCTGTACATTACTTACAGATGAGCAAAGTGTACGTACTTCTGAAGATTTTCTATTATAATTTGATTGCACTTCATTTTTTCAATCATATATGGTACGATTGGTCCGTCGAATCCGTAGTCTCAGACCGATCGTACGATGAATCGATAATGTACGCCAAGTTCATTAACGATCGGTAATCGCAACAAAAACACATACAATCGTTAGTATCGTAACGATGAATTAATAATATGTCTCTTTGCGATTCGATGTGTGTACCAACGTATTGAATTATTTGAACACGTTATCGTTTCGTTTCAAACATGTAAATCATCGTTCAAAGTTAATCGGCGATCGATAACAAAGAGACGGTCTATGGAAGGTGTGAAAGGTGTCCTTTCCCTTTTCCAATAATAAGGCAAACTTTGCTAGTCCCAGCTAATACAAAAAAGGCGTTAGATAAAAAAGAGGCGGTCTATGGAAGATGCGAAAGGTGTCCCTTCCCCTTTAGAATGATAAGGCAATCGGTGGTCTATAATGGAAAATTAGCTGTCACTACAGATTTTTCAGTTTTACCAACATAAGAATGATGAAATATAAGCATTGTAACTGCCTATGCGACTTCTGACGCAAGTGAAATGACATAAATTAGCGTGATTCTTCAAACATACTTCTCGATGATCCAAAATTTTCGTTTTTCAATCCACCTTTTATTGATCAGGTTTATCGCAGTCCACCTCCACATTACGATGGTATCAAATGTTCTCTTATCGAACACATTAACCTTATCACACCTGTCCAGAGGTGATTATAAAATGTAACACATTTTCAAATTTATATAATTTAAATGTATTATTAAATTAATAAAACAATCGTTCGTACGCGTTCATCTCGCCTACGTTACTCTAATCCAGGATGAAACCATCTGCGGTGTGGCCAGTCTTTCTCAAAAACACAAAAAAAGTTGTTTGTTAAATTGTCTTAATGAATATTGACTTTATTGGTACCACTGGAAAGCATTTTTCAGTAGCTTTCCAACGATGTGTCACAAGTATGAGGTTGCCATTTAGGATTTTTGAAGAGAGGAGCTAAGGGGTTTAGGGGGTTGTCATTCTGGTTCCCCCTCGATACCCCCGAAACGGTTTTGCGCGATTTTCAATGTCTTCTTTAGTTTGGAAAATATGCCCGACTATAAGGTTTAAAATTGACACATCGTATGTACTCGTATAGTATAGTCGTGTCGGTTATTTTTCAAGTTCCACACAGAAATGAGATCTTGGATATCAATTTTTGGATGACCTTTTATTTCTGTTAAACACCTCGAAAACCTTTTTATAACAACATAATACAATTTTTTTTGTGAAAATGACTTCCGGTGACAAAATGAATCTAATTTTTACATTATACTCGTAATTTCAGGTAATCATTTGGGAAGTCGGAGTTATTTATTTCTGTAATAATTATTTTACATTACGCGACGACCCAGATACTTTATTTCTTTGGTAGTGAAAAATGGTTTTAGATAAACGCTTGGCCCTATCAGATTCAGTTGTGAAGGGGACATCTTTTCAAATACGAGCACAACCCCTTAAATTTTGATTGATCATGAATTTGTTATTTGTGGATACTCTACTCTACTCTACTCTACTTTTTGTCTTAATTATGCATGCATTAGTAACGAATTTATTTTCTAGTGTAAAATTGTATACTAAAGAATAAAGAAAATCAAAGGAACTCAAAAAGCTTTTTATTATAGCGAGCAATGTAAAAGACCATTAGCCGGATTGAGGGGGTAAACACTAAAACAAAGGAATACCGGAAATAAACTCGTAGGTAATTCATTATTCAGTTCATGTTTTTTTTGCAAATTGTTTATTCATGAAATTAGATAATGTGGGTGGTTCGTTCAGAAATGCCGTAAAACGCACTCAATTTAGTATACTCAGCGCTCCTGGTTTCAAAGAATATTATAGGGCTTTATATTCACCGCTGTAATAACATAATGAAGAGCGTATGTCACAAAGGCATACAAATGAAATACCTTTTCAAATTACTAGCGTACCAAAATGAAATGCCATAGTAGGGATTTGGGAAGTACAGTGAGAGTAAGCTGCTATAAAAGAACAAAAAATAAATGTAGAGAACAGAGAGTATACAGAGCCGGACTGCTTTTTGTGACGTGCCGGGAAAAATGTATCGGCCGGACAACAAATCGTTATTTTCCATCACATGTCGCTTCTAAATCGCAATATGACGTTATGGATAAATGTTCTATTGCTCCATGTGTTTTAGAGTTCCTTTCGAAACAAGGAGAGAAATTTCGAAATAAGTAAAAATAAGATTCACTTCCAGAGCATCCACTTAAAGTCTATGGAAGTTGTTCCTACGAAATGGAGTCGAATCACGATTTTGACATTTTCCTTTTATCATAATTGAGCTGATTAAGATCGCACAATCGGAGGATTTTTCGTGGTTCAGATGCCAGACCTTTATGCTACCGAATGCAAAAAGCACGAAGTCAATTTTGAAAACTGCAGGAGTAGTTGCGGAGCGAACCGACAACTGCACACATAAAGTGGTAAGACAGACAAGACTCAAATCTTTTTCAACAAAAATTGACATTACGGAATGTTCCCTGTATAATTTTAAATCTTCTCACTTCCATACGGTTTTACAAAGCACAGCCCCTCTTAAAAAGAAAGACATTTCAACATTAGATGCGCCAATGTGACCACTTTCTGTGCCGATCATCCATTGTAAACTACTTTTACAGTTTTCAATATTGACTTCTCTTAAAATTACGCTTCGAACCTGAGGCAAAAAAATTTAAGCAATCACGGCTTTAAGAGCCCTTAAGAACTTTGAAAAGCCTTTATCTATCCTTCAGGAAACTTGACACCATTTAAGTGTATTTATGGGTATTAAGAGAGTCTAAACATGTTTATCCAAGAGAACATCTAAAGGCCACCTACAGTAGAACCTCTAAAATGTTTACGAGAGCCTTCAACACCTTACAAGTCTCTCTAAGCACCTTTAAGAATTTTTTAGATGCTTTTAAAGAAGGACGTTTGTTAGGATTTAAAAGTGCCCAAGGATTTTCTAAAGTGTTCCATAATATTTTAAAGTCCTTACTACTAAGGATCTTCAAGGGCATTTCAAAGCGTTAAAGTTTTCAAAATTCTTAAGAGCTTTTAGGAATCGTTTAACAGCTTTTATGGTTTGCAAAACTTTAAGAATCGCAACAGGCTAACGGAGTCGTTCATAAGTCTTACAATGACTCTGTTTAGGAGCCTTCAAGGGCTTTAAGTACCTTCAAAAGGCCCAGCTTTTAAGGTAGTACATTTGAAAGCCTTTAAGAGTGCGCAAACGTAACCAAGAATCGTTTAAATTCCTTCATACATAGTTTTTAACAGCATTGGTCTTTAAAAGTATTCAAAACTGAACCTTAGGGGATGCTAAGACCCTTAAAGAGCTTTTACAAGTCTTTAAAAGGGGTGACTTTAATAGATTTCGTGAGCCTTTAAAAGCTTTTCAAAATGTTTAATTACTAGTAATTTCGGATAGTCTCCAAGAGCCTTCTAAAACCTCTTAGGGATTTTAATGTTTTTATTAGTCTTTAAGCTCTCAGCCTTTAATAGGTCTTCTCGCACAATCTCAGAATCTCCGTTTTAAACACTCAAATGCATGCGAAATCAGGCTATTAAAGGTTACTAAGTAATGTTACTTCAAATATGACGTATGAAACTGTGATCTGAGGCTGAACTAAAAAATCTTCTTAAGTCGCTTTCTGTAAATGCAAAAGATTTCTTTGGTTTGTACCTATCCTTTGTTTATGGCTTTCACAAACGCGTGTATTTAGGGTATGCTGACGAAATCTGTTCCATTTTTTATTCTCAGCATTGTTTGAAATTTTGAATAACAGACAGAATATTTTAGCGCTTGTTACATTTCTTGCGTATATGCTAGCATTATCATGTGTGTATCATTTAAGGCTTTGTTCGTAAGATGCTTTTTATTCATCCACCGCCAACAACTTCTCATATTCTTGCAATAGGTTTTACTGGATTTTGTAGGTAGCGACTTTTCTTCTGCTTCTGCAACAAACCACTGAAGCGGATGAATGAAATACGGCCTTATCGATTTTGAGTGGTTTCATTTTTCATTGATGCTTAGTGAAATCCCTACTAGCTTTAATTGTGAAAGTAAATTATTTTCTTATCGCTTTTAATATACGATATAACTGAAAATGATAAAACATAACTAAAAATATCTTTGGTTTCAATTCGATGGTATTACTTTTCAGGTATTTTACCTGTTTGGTCCGGTCCTGTTATAGTATATAAACTGGAAAACTGACAAATATATAAACCGTCAATAAAAATTTGCTACTGTTATCCTCCCTAAGTCGTTTAGAGAAAAGGGAAAATTGCGCAATAATTGCCCTAATTTCGCTGTTTCATTTTCTGTATTGATAAAGTTATAATATCGACTGAATGAACGGTATCGAGAATATCAAATGAAAAGGAGTTAAGTGCCACCTAATTGAAAGCTTCGATCCTTTATAAAAACGCGCACATACATTTTCAATACCAATTTTTCCACGTAAAATATTACCTACTCATCACAGTGTTGTCATGGAGATTACTGAACTTTATGATCTACTTATGTTTCAAAATAAGTAAAATGAGTAGAGGAATTCTCTTATTTACGAAAGCATCTAATTTCATCTAAATGGGGTTAAAGGGAGCAATAACCGAGCGAGCACATAGTCGAAATCAGAGGGCAATTAATATCTAATTTAGGTCAAGTCAGTCTAGTTCACTTATTTCGCAATAATTAACATAAGGGTCGATGTGAGGGGGTTTTCAGATGATTAATGAGGGCGCTTATTTTAGGAAAACGCTCTTTTGTACACACCGTTTGTTTACATCTCTCGTAAAACTGGGCCATTTGTTTTGACGTCTTAACACTCGAGAACCTAACGGACAGCTTAATGTAACTCTATCTTGATTTTTATTACCTGAATGTAGGGTGTAAATCTGCAGGCAATATCACCCAGAATCCAAGACGGTACAATTCTTGTATACGCTACAGCAGGAATCGACAGAGCGAACAATAAATCTGCAGCTGCCAGGTTTAAAACGAAACAATTGGTCACGGTTCTCATGTCCGGAAACCTTAAAACAAATGAAACATGAGTTAAAATTGCGTTAATTCAACAAGTTTGGTTTATACAGGCTACATTGGTTTTAAGTAAAATTAAGTAATATTTGATTGAGTGTGAATTTATAATGGTAACATCAATGTTAAGGATGACCGGATTAGTAACCCTATAACAGATTTTGCCGTGCTTAATATAGCGATAATTAGTTGCGCCAAACACACCCGATAAAATGCAAGATGTTCCACACGGAGTGTAGGATTGCATGGATAATATTTACCAACCGCACGTTAGTAAGGGAGGTATTGCATTGGGCTAAAAAATGACACGCACTTTTTTGACGTACATACACTTTTGAAGCACCAGGAATCCGAATCAATTTTTTTAATAATGGCAAACTTAGGTTCGAAAAAGAACGTGTTTCTATAAATTGGCGTTTCGACCTCTGTGACATTTTTAATGGAATGTGTTTTTTGCATCAGTGGAATTTGTAATTTCGGATATCCATAGCTAAATGTTTAGGTGAGTGCCATTTGAAATTTAAAAATATATGCGAACATCAATCCAAACTTTTCTTTTTTTTTAATTATGCAAAAGTGGAAGAGGTCTTCGTCTGTGTCTCAATTCAATAGGTAGCCGTCGCGCCGTTAGTTTCACCACGTTAGTTTCGTGATTCAACCTTGAAAGCGAAATGCTTATTAACCTTGGTATTGTACGATGGTACTGCGAAAATTAAAATAGAATTATTAGAGAAACTGTGTCGCCATTCCCACGAAATTATTGTCGTGGATAATTTTTAAGGTAGTTCCTAGATAAAAATATAAGTGGCTAGTTGAGGAGAAGCAGTTCTGGCTAACAAAACAATTTTACGAAAAGCGACAAAATTTTGAGCACGCAGGATATTCGACATGATTATTTTCAAAATACATAAGAAATTACGCAAAGAAATATTGACAAATTTTTAACCGCAGTAAAATTTTGACGCTTGCAAGCAATCACTGAAATATGGACATTAACCATAGCAATTCTAGTTATTTTACTACACGAAGGAAATAACCATATGCAAATCATAAGGGCATCTCATTTTTCCGAAAAAAACGGAAAAAACACGTTGCTAAGTAATGCTTCAACAAGAAGCGTCGACTCGGATTTTTGTACCTGCACGAATGCTTCTTACTTCTTACTCTTCTTCATTACTTATCGGTTCCGGTTTTATTTATATTTAAGCGAAATTTTTTATAACGGTCACGGTACGGTTTCAGTTCTAAAAAAATAACGGTTATGCGCATTTTGTTGGGTCCATCTCGGTTCTAGATTTTTAGAAATTATGGCATTCAAAAAATTCATTATAACAACGTGATATCTTAATAGGTGTGAAAAAGAAGTAAAAAGTCATGAACACAAACACGGGACGTATCGTCAGTGTAGTTAATTTGCAACGGGAATAAAGGACGAAGAGGGAAAAAACAGAAAACATACATAGAAACTTATGTAAAAAATTGTGTATGGAGTATTGTTTTTAATTTTATTTTCTAAAACCTCGCCCCCTCCTTTTATTATGTGCATTTACAGTAGTGGCTAAATCACCGCCACCGCCACCCGTACTGCCGTGAATTTTGAGTCCTTATTAAAAATTTATAATCCACCGATGGCAATCATAGAGTAATATTTTATCCATTTTCAGAAGGTGTTTGCCGGCGCGTCCTTCAACTTCCAATAACCTGTTGAGAACCGTAAAAAACCGAAAAGAACCGAAAAAGATACCGGGTCCCTGCGCGCTACTGATATTTATTAAAAAGACGGTCCTGTTCTTTCTACAAACTAAAAAGACTACCAACTTTCCGAACAGGAAGCAGAAGTAATTCACAGCGATAACTCGAATTAACCAAAAAATTGATGAAATCGTAACCCTTAAAAAACGAATCCATAAGACTGTATGGTTGGGTCGTATGTCACGCAAAGATCCTAACTATTCGAATTTTTGGATCCCCGAAAATAATCGAAAGGTGCATGATAAGTACCTACTGTATGTGCACGTTCAATGTTTTTTTTTGAAAAAATAGTTATTTACATAAAAGTGAGGAAAATTACACATTATTGGTGAAAAGATATTAAAGGACGAGCTCCCCTGGGACCGAATACTTTCATTTCCGAGTCAAGTTATGTCATTTTACTGACGAGTTGTCTTCACACATAATCATATTTTAATATAAAATTTCAATTTTCATATAGAACTTTTGATTAATGCCAGTCTGTCAGTCATGACATGAGTCATTATAGCCATTTATCAATGTGACAGGTGCGGCCGATAAAGTGACAGGTGAGTGACATAAAGCTGAAGTGAAGGTTTTATGACGATTTTGGGTAAAATTACTTACTGAAATGGAATGGGAAAGTTGTAGCTCTTAGTAGTAAAAAATGATTCAAAACCCACTCGTCGTTGCCTCGTTACACAACTGTAAATGATGGTGATGAGTAACGGGCCAATATAGACCATAGCAGCTATCAATTGCCGAAAACCCTCTAGGTGGCCCTGGGACTGAGATCGTGATGGAACTGACAGACAGACACAGACAGACGACGGAAAATCGAGCACATAAACCTCTCAACTTCGTTGGGTTACGCTAAAAAACACATTTCTTGTTCAGTAACTAGAAAAAGATGTTACGTAGTAAAAATAGGACAATTTTATCTACAGCGCATTCCGCAGTTAAAACGAACCATCCTGAATAAGTCGTTTGATATTGGGACTATAAAAAAATCGTGAAACATGTCAACTTTGGTGTCCAGGGGGAAACGTTTCGGTATATAAAATCTACCCCTTGTCAGCCAACATAGTCGACTTATTCGAAATGTCTTTCAATTCTGTATCCAAACCGGTAACCTTTTTAACTTGGAACGATAAGTAACATTCCTCAAACTTACCCTTGGGGTTGTAAAAATGTAGATAGGTATATTTTTTTACGTTTTTCTCATCGAAATAGCGGATTTCCGAATTACAGCTGATAATTTCAAGTTGCAACTTAAAATTCTAATTTCCACTGATCAATTTCAATTACGAATTCTGATTTACAACTTGGAATGAATTCATTATCATGTTTAATTGTTACAATATCTTGTCGCCCTTTGAAACCGTTGCTGAACAATTTATTATGGCACTTTAAGTGAACATTTACTCAAAACTCGCCTAAAATTTATAAGAGAAGGTGTGTGAAACCAAATTAAATTTCACGATTAGTGACTATCTGTTATTGTGAGCGAATACAGTGAAAATTTGTTATTGTAAACTGCCGAAAATTTGTGCCAATGTGTTTCCATGAAAATGTATACCTAGACACCCTTCATTACATTTTAGCTTATTTATTTCATGTTCTCGATCCATCAACTTTATCCTACAACTCTGCACATATTTTCCTTCCAGTTTGAATATTTAATTACCTATATGGAAATTATTTCGTTTCAGGTAAGTTCACTATTTGCCCCTCGATTTGCCCTTAAAGGATGAATCTATCTTCTAATCATAGTGCAAGATAAGATAACATAATAATATTGAACATTGCAACTAACTAATAATTAAAAATCAGATGAGAATTCCAATGCATTCATTTGATCTAAATAAAAAGCACCTTTTTTTGTAGTAGGTAAAGTAAACAAAATTGGCACCTAAAAAGTTCAACATAAATATTAATTTAAAGATAAATTGAAATTTTAATTAAATTCTAAGTTTTTAATTAGCCGTAGGGATTTAATCTTTTAGAATTTTAACGAGGTTTATAAAAAAATGGAAATTAATTAACTTTGTTATACAATTTATTGACAAACAATCCTCTACTGGGGTGAATTACGCAAAATTTTTGTTGGAAAATCCTATATTTACTAATTAATATGCATATTGCAATAGTAGAACGATGTAAAATATGGCACGCTCACATTTAACGAAAACGGTAATGTCTATTTTCGCATATTTGGACGTCCACATTTCAATCAAGGTTCGTTAGGAAATAATGCTGTAATAAAATATCCAATGCCCCTTCGTGCAAGCTAAAAATACACATTCAGTCCAGAAATAATTGGATCCAGTCAATGTACTTACAGGAAATTATATATTTATAGCCCAAAAATCGATTGTGACTATTTATCTTCTATTTATAACTCGTCCTCTATTTTTAGAGTATAGAGTAAGGATACATTTTGCGATTGTGTACTTCTACAACGTTCATCACCCTTAGCCAACTATTGCTCAATTTACTACACAAAAGCTCCAATTTTGTTGTATTTCCGTGTTACATCTTGTAGATAGACTTTATCTTTTACAATGTACTAAAATGATGACATCAACCATTTTAGGGTTGTTGTGGAAAAATACCGGACAATAAATGCAAGGCACATTTTTATTGAACTTTTAACAGCAGATCGTCGGGATTATTTCATTCCGTTATCATAAAATGATACAAAGTTTTAATGTTCTAATATCAAATCTACCTTATCGTGGAAATACACTAATCATCGCATTCTTCATTTTACACGGTACGCTATTCAGGTGGAAATATAATCATAATATTTAATCAAAATTGCGAATTGGTAGGTTAGGTACATATTTATATTCAACGGTCGACGTAGAAAGACGTTTATGAAAAGATCGCTTATAGGTTCTATATTGCCATTTTCGGAATAATTTTAAATAACAAACGTATCAAAATACTGTTCTGCACGTTGTGAAAGAAAATGTGGAAAATTGCATAAAAAAGCTTACATTTGGTTGGCTGATGCCTACCAGCTAATATTGTAGAAAGCATAAATCAGACGATAATCTAAAGCACTGTAAAATAAATGGCCAAATGTGTGAGAAAATAAATAAAAGCAAGAAAGGAGTAGACCAAAATTAGAATTGTAGATAATTTGTAAGTATAGACTCTACGGAATGGTTGTAAAATTACATTCTTTAGAAATTTGACCAGTTGCTGTAGGCATTGTTTAAATACACCGTCGGCTATTTGCGAAATGTTTTAAAGTAAA